TACAAAAACATCAGGATGAATTACATTTACATGTTTACGATGATGATGTTGTCGGCCGAGATTGTATTGGTTCATGTAAAATTAATTTAAAGAAACATGTCTTTGGCAAAGGTGTCTACGATGATTGATGCTATACAAAAATCATGTCATGAGTTTTATGGACTAGGTGAAATAAATTTTATTTAAATGTTACAACATCTGCTATCTTTCTAGGATATATTACGATAAGTTAGTTCTTTTGAAAGATCTTGCTTCAAAATTGTGTAAGATCGTATTATTTCTTATAACCTTTAATTGAAAAGTACAGTATGGCTTGCACTTATGTTGTTCGCTATGTATTTCAAAGTACCGAGTTCGAGTCTCGACACAGTCAAATTATATGATAATCTTGAGTAAAGTATTTCCTGGCGCCTCATACTAACAGCCTGGCAGCATACTCGCTACAATGTCACGCATAATACGATTTCTGCAATTAGTCTTCATGGTTTTGTGGAAAGATTCTGCGAACAAAGCTTTTGCACTCCTTTATTATTAAACAAATTAATTATGAACAGTTAATTTTTCCATTTTATCGAATCTGTATTAATACCCAAGCAAAACTAAGTAAGCGAGAAAGTCTAGCTGCAGAAGTAGCTGCAGCGCCCACTTACAGCTAGATTAACTAGATTAAAAGGCACATTTATCTAGCTGCATGGTGGTTGAAATTGTGTACTAGTTGAAACGGCCACTACATGGGCCAATTAATAGCGCAATGAATTGCCCGATTAATCGATAGCAACTAGTTGTACCCAATTGAAACTAGCTTCAATCTAGCTGAAGCTAGATGAAATTTTCATGTATTTCTGTGCAGCTAGCTGAAGTTCGATAAATGTACCTTTTAATCTAGATGCAGCGCCCGCTTCATGATTTTTTTTCGTGCTTCGGTATCGAAAAGTAGCAATGAAGACTGATGTAATACAGACTCATTTATCCACACATTTGTTGTATTAATTTATAAGATATTAATCAATTGACTGAAAAGTGTGTACTGACATGGTAGATTGAAACATGTTTCTGACAAATTTAAACACTACATTTATTGGTTTATTATCAAATACTGTTACTCAATTTAATGTCGCATCATGCAATAACCTTTTTTAAAAAACTACTTTTCGAACGTACTCTCACACTGCTTGCACGTATAACACCCTAACACGTATACAAGTAGCTGTGTATGCATGTGGAAAAAAAATATCTAAATTCTGTGAATGATCGAGAATCACGAGAAAACAACATACACCTTTGTGTTTACTATGTAGTGACGAGAAAGTTAGTCAAACATCATAAGGGGCAAAATGTTGTAAATAAGAATGAATCCACTTCACTAACAAAAAAAGGACAAATGTAGTAATTACACTTGTCAGAAACTGTGGTGCTGACATGGTAGATTTAATCATCTCTTCGATTGATTGAAAAATATCTTATAAATTGATTTTGATATTTTAAATTCGACTTGTCTGAACTAAATAAGTTTTATTTCCTAATCGCTTTTCATTACAGAAAAGCTCAAGCAAACTCGTGTTACTCATAGAAAAACTGTGACTTGTCTTTTCTTTTGTTGAGCGTCATGACGATGATTAGTAAAAGGATGGGTGGTCGCCACTGAAGAATCACTGAATAATTTCGCTGGCGCCTGACCTATATATTCTCTACTGTATTGAGAGAAAATTTACAGGAAGACAAATATATGCTGCGTCTATATGCTGCAGTCTATATGCTGCGTGCGTAGTAAGGATCAGTTCAAGTTTCTAAGGTTTGAGTTTTTCTGCAGCGACAAAGAGGTTGTAAAATAAAAGTTTATCTTATAAACTAATCCAACAAATGAGTCTATATTATATCGGTCTTCATTATTACTTTTCGATATTAATACGGATTAGACAAAACGAAAAAATTAACTGCTCATAACTAATTTGTATAATAAAGGACTGCAAAAGTCTTGTTCGTGGAAGAGTAGTGTCAACACCAGTTTGTCGATAATAAGGTCTCTTGTTATTATGAGTGTTCATCACAAGATCTTTCATAATATCGCACCACCGATGACTCATTAACCTGCATAAATTTTGCTGCGGATACATAACATACATTCTAACTAAACAGAAAAATGGTAAAAAACTAAAAAGTATAGAAAGTATTGATACCGTTGGCAAACGCAGTTATATAGTCTCGAATGTCAGAATGAATTTCAAGTGAGTTAATGGACGTGTAAAATCTTGCAAAATCATTGGGCAAGTTTAATGTGCTTACGAGGGAACGTTTTTCAGTGAACTCTTCCGATTTCGTTCGTTCATACGTCATTCGATAGAGTATATTGAGATAAGAGAAAGCCTAAAAGAGTTCGGGCCCATGGCTTTTTAAGGCACGGCTTTCTGGAATATCAGTTTTTCAGAAACTCTGAAAAATAACTAAAACCTTTCTTAATGAGGCATGATTGTAGACCGCAAATTTCTGATTAAAACGAGATATCTTTCAGCTCTTCGCGACCTTTCTTTACAAAGTTATAGAATTTACACGACAAGCTCTAAATGCTCATTGTCAGCTCAAACCTACAGAAATAAGAAGAAATTAATTTAGGGCTTTTCTTGTAAATTATAACTTTGTAAAGAAAGGTTGCGAAGAGCTGGGAGATGTCTCATTTTAATCAGAAATTTGCGGTCTACAATCATGCCTCATTAAAAAAGATTTTAGTTATTTTTCAGAGTTTCCGAAAAGGGGTTAAATGATGCTCGTTAGGGGTGAATGATGTACGAAACATTATCGATAACGTCATATTGGAACGGCGCTATTGGGTAAAGTTACCTGCAGTTTTGGGTTTAGGAAGTCATGGCGAAATACACGTGATCATTCAACATACTGTATGTTCTCTCTAATCTGCATATTTAGTCACTTATGTCTATAAATGTTCTCTTTG